GGAGTCAGTCTTTCTATTTCATTGGCAAAAATTTCCATTGCTTTGTGCAAATGTGCTAATTTCTTTCTCTCTTTTCCTCTCTTATTTTCCCTTAGATTTCTGCCTTTAGAATTCAGATTTAGCTATCGTTAAGAACACATATTTAATTACTGCTTTATCTGCTCTGGAAGGTGTGTTTTCTTGATATGTTTGTTGTTAATAGCCAAATTCAACCAGCAAAGGATGTAGTGAGATGGTTGAAATCACTTCACCCTTAACCGAAAGTCTAGTATCCGAGCTTTAAATTATTTTTGGTAAGAGTGTTTTACCCCTTAGTGGGCACACCCAAATCTAAATTAGTCATATGGCTAACCATAAAAAAGAGAGCCAATTTGAGGTGAAATGGCACATTGCAGCCTTTTTGAAGAAACTCCCTCAAAGTAAATGCCTTTTTCCTTCTTTTGAATAGCTAAGCAATAGTACATTGCGGCCTTTTTGAAGAAACTCCCTCCCTTCATAAATTGGAACCGAGGGAGGAACTGTTCCATCACCTGTTCCTTCCTATGATGCAGCTTCTGATTGGACTGTTATTTTAGCATTTGAATTTCTTGTCAGCCCAATCTCTTCATCATATTGTTCATGCCTCTCAAAAAGAATGTTAGTTTCATCAAAAACAATATGCACACTTTCTTCTACACTCATAGTTCTTTTGTTATATATCTTATAAACTTTACTATGTAAAGAATATCCCAAGAATGCTCCCTCATCACTTCTGGATCAAACTTTCCTAGGGAGTCTTTTCCATTATTGTGCACAAAACACTTGCATCCAATTGCTCTAATATAGGATACATTTGGCTTTCTCCCTTTAAATAACCCATAGGGAGTTTTCTCCACAAGAGATCTAGTCATGCACATGTTTATGATGTAGCATACAGTGTTCACAGCTTCTGCCCATAAGCTATGAAGCAATTTACTAGCAAGTAACATAGTTCTAGCCATTTCCTTCGAGGTCTTATTCTTTCTTTCAACTACTCCATTTTGTTGTGGAGTTCTAGAAGCAGAGAAATTATGATTTATGTCAAGCTCATCATAAAATTCAAAAAATTTAGCATTCTCAAACTCATAATCATGATCAGACCTAATTGATGCAAGTTGATTATCTAATTGTTTTTGAGTTTTTCTAACAAATAAAGTGAACATGTCAAATGCTTCATCTTTAGATGCTAAAAACATTGTTCAAGTAAACCTAGAGTAACCATCAACAAGCATCATAACATATTTCATACCACCTCCGTTCATTATCCTCATTTGTCCACACATATTCATATGGATCAGTTCCATCGACCTGGTAGTACTTACCATTTTCTTACTTTAAAAGAGGATCTTACATGCTTCCCCTTGCATAAGCCTCACAAACTTTATCTTCCTTGAATTTAATGTTAGGCAACCCTACCAACAAGTCCTCGGAGACGAGACGAATCGATCACTTCGAGGGCCAGTTATATATCAACTCCTTTATCGACAAATGCCAAACCCTCTTGGTATCACCAGGTGCGTCCAAAAGTCTCGAATTCGGATTATAGAAGAATGGAAAAATCTTTTGAGAGAGTGTTTTCCTTAATTAACAAGTTATACACGACACTCATTCAAATTAATCAGGCCAATAAATTTCGAATTTTATATAATTAAACAAAAAATCATCTTGGTATCAGGTAAGAGCTCCTCTTTCCAAGCTAGAGAAATATAGGGGTTAAAGGAATAGAAATACTGTATCAGTAGTAAGATCCGACCCATTCAATATCTTCTGCTCGAATTATAGTGTATATGATTAAATAGTACTCCTACTTACTAAGTGTTGTTTTATGGAAAACCACATTAATTATTCTTTTCATATCTATCAATACTCTAATAAATGATCTGAACAGTACGAATAGAAATAAACAAATAAACGAAATTTAAGAGTAATTTAGTTTAACTAAACCTTATAACCAGTGTTGTAAAATTATATTTTTAATGGCATGTCAAAACTCAAAACCTTAAATAGCATTTAAAATTGACTGGAGTTAGTGCTTAAACTTGACTCCGTCTATAATGCTGCTGCTGTCTTCACAGTGTTGGAAATGCCGAATTCTTTATGCATTGAATGAATGGTCAAATTAATAGTGTCTTAGTTGTAACGCACAACTGCCCAAACACAACCAAATCCAGTGTTCCGCTTCCGCAACAATTCCACCCCATTTGACTTTTATATTTGTATTAATTAGAATTAGAATTTCCGTGTACACACACTGTGCAAATCTTCCAAACTACCCTTTGTTAATCATTGCATCGAGGCTTGATTCCTATATTTTCATTTGGGGAAATACCAAACGGTGAAAGAATTTCACCTTTTGTTCTTCAAGATTTACCCTTGTAGGACAGTGGCAACAGATTAGTGGAGGCAATTTATTTGGAGCAGGACAAAATTATTCTACATATAAAGATAAAAGAAAAATTCTCAGAGTAATGGTACTCATATGTTTAGAGGTTCTTAAATTAAGTGAAAAATTTTGTAAAATAAAAATTTGATCCTGCCCAAACACAGAGGAAGGTGGCATATAATTTTAATATCAAGATTAGTGAAAACCAACTTTTGCAGTTTAGAGTCCGTTTGGATTGACTTATTTTAAGTGCTTTTAAGCCAAAATACTTTTAAGTCATTTTGTAGTGTTTGGATAGAGTAAAAAAGTATTTTAAGCATTTATTTTTAAGTTAAAATAACAAAAACAAGTCAAAAGCTAGGATCTCTAACTTATGGCTTAAAGGCTTTTTTGACTTAATAATCGCTTAAAATAAGCCAATCCAAACGGACTCTTAGTCTTATTTCATCCTTTTTAAACCAAAACTTTCTCCAAAGACTCCAACACGCTTGGATAACTACTCCACTCAATTCATTTCAATTTATATGACATCTTTTGCTTTGTAATGTTCTAAGATGCTTGAACTCTATTATTATTATTAGAACACAAAGATACACAGAAAAGTTTATACGAAGGACCTCAGTGAGGTATATTATTTCCTTGACAATCTTGTGTACACAACCTGTGTATATATATACACTAGTTAATTTATCCACGCTTCGTGTGGTCCAAACCTTTCCATAATATCAACTCGTAAATTTATTTTGTTTAAATCTTAAAAGTAAAAAAGATCATCATTTTTTAGTAATTCGTTCACTAACTGCCAAAACAGAACTGTAAAAATTGGAAAACATCATGTATCAGAATAAACATTAAATGGCTTATCACCAAAAAAGAGGGGAAAAAAGAAAGGTTAAAGCTCGATGCTTGCCCTGTATTTCTCCAGCATAAGAAGTTTTATTCTCATAAAGGCGTGAGTGGTAATAATAATTAATACATCCCTTCCTAAACCTTTAAAAATTGAATAAAGATCTAGAAAATAAAAAATAACTAACTCACGAAAATAAAATAAATTTCTTATATCCTCCTCCTTCATTAAATTTATGCAGAAATTTTGGACTGTGTAATAATTTGAGTGGTACATTTTTATTCCTCCCTTAATTTGTATTACTTTCAAACTGAACATTTTCTTTCTTGTCAAAATTTCCACAGCCTAAAAACTTTGAAAGCACTAAAAAAAGAGTTTGGAACTTTATCATATCAAAAGCGTGTTTATTTCTCAAAATATATCGTTGTCCAAAAGGATCTTCCCATTCTTAATTTCAATTATCATCTTTGTTAAAAACTCAAGAACTTGAAATAGGACACAGGAGTATCAATAAATATTATGTCATTTAGGTTTAGAGAGATATTTTGAAAATTGAGAGATTCAGATATCAATTTAGTNCAATTAATTGAGAGGGAGATTTTTACTTAACCATCGGCACAAACTATCAATACTAACGTTTGTAAAATCAATCAATTATCCAAACTAAACCAAAACAATTTGAAGTAAAATTTTCTGATTTCATTAGCATTTTAAATATAATGCTAAGAACACCAACTTTTATTAAATCTACACATGCAAAAATAAAACAGAAATATTTGTAGGAAGAAATAATAGAAGAAGAAATTAGAAAAGAGCAGTAGGAGTAGAAAGAAATACTAATGATAAAAAAAAAAATTAACTCGTTCTTCTTGGATTTGCTATTCTGTTACCTCTCCTTTTCTTTTTTCCTTCTTTTCATTTTATCTTCTTTTTCCATTCCACTCTTTCCATATATTTCTTCAGTTTTTCATTCCAGAAAAAAAGCAGACAAAATTGTGGAGATAGCCCCTTGTTGTTGGTCAAAAGAAATTTCAACCTTTGTTGGAGTATTGCTGTAAGAATTGGCATATCCCAAAATATTACTACAGTCACGTAAATAAAAGAAAACAAAAGAAGCAATAAAGATAATAAAAAAATAAAAATTATTCACTGCTCTATATCGAAGAAAGTTTGCACTTAAATCTCATCCCTTCCTGCATTACATATTGCTAGTATTCTCAGCATAGCATGCACGACTTTAAATAGGGAAAGCAAGATCATATACTATTTAAATAATACATAAATATCGCATTCATTACATATTAAATTGAAAAGAAATTAAGGGAGGAGGAAGAAGAAGAAGACATGGCAAGGGAGAAACTATTGTAATAGGCTTATCGAAAAATAGGAAGAGAGCGATGGAGAAAGTAACGTGCAACAACCAATAAGGGTGATCTTTGATATTGTTTCTTTTGGGTTGGGTCAAAAAGTAGGAAGATAGAGCGAGGGAGAAAGTAACATATAATAAGGCTGATTTTAACCTTGTGCCTTTTGGGTTGCGACTAATCGTAATAACCTTCTTAGATTTAACGTCTTGTCTTTTGGGTTCCGACTAAACGGTTCGATAGAAGATAATAGAAAAGAGAAAGAGGCAAAGTGATAGAAAATGATAAAAAATTGAGGAAAAAGATAAATAGAAATCCAGAGTGTCACGTCACTTGTCTTAGTTCCTCAATTTTATATATATATATATATATCGATTGACATCTTGGCTAGAGATTGAGATAGAGATTACAGTAGAGTAATTATACAAGAATACTAACTGATAGCTATCCTAGCCTAACCATTATCCGTAGAACTCTTGGAAGAGTTCTTAGTTGTGTGGGACTCAACTGGCGAGGCAGTTCTCGTTGATTGAACAACAACCGGGAATGATGCCCAAGGAGTTGAAGGGGACGGCTGATTAGGTGGAGATCCAAGGATAGAGGTTTCAGCAAAGGGAAATCTGCTTTCATCAAAACGCACCTGTCGAGCTATATAGATTCGTCCAGTAGAATAATCAAGACAACGATAGCCTAGATGATTAGATCTATATCCAAGAAAAACACACGGTTTGCTCCTAAAATCAAATTTATGTTTGTTATATGTTCTCAAGTGAGGAAAACACAAACAACCAAAAGCTTTAAGAAAGGAGTAATCTGGTTTGGAATGATGAACGAGATCAAAAGGAGAGAGACCATTTGTACACACTGAGGGTAGACGATTTATGAGGAAAACAGCAGTTTCAAAGGCATATTGCCAGTAACGAGCGGGGGTAGAGCTGTGAGCAAGAAGGCTTAAACCTGTTTCGACAATGTGTTGATGTTTTCTTTCAACTCGACCTTGTTGTTCATGTGTATGTGGGTAAGAAACACGATGAGAGACGCCATGTTTAGTAAGGATTGGGGACAATGAGCGAAATTCCCCACCCCAGTCAGATTGTATGGCTTTAATAGTAGTATAAATTGTCGTTCAACGAAGGCCTTAAACTGATGGAATATGGAGAGAACATCTGATTTTTGGGAAATTGGATAACCCCATGAATAGCTTGTGAAATCTTCAACAAAAATAAGAAAATATTTGTGGCCTTGAGACGAAAGGAGAGGGGCCAGACCCCAAACATCAACATACAATAATTGTAAAATGAAAGAACTTTTATTAATGCTTAAAGGGAGAGACAACTTGTTTGATTTGCCTAACTGGCAGGCTTGACAAACTTTATTGAAACTAGAAATAGTACAAGGTAAATGATTTTTCCTAAGAACTTCTTGAAGAACTCTATGATGAGGGTGTCCAAATCGAAGGTGCCGGGAAGATGGTGAAGCCTTGATTGAGTAGAAAGCAGAAGGACTGGAGGAATCCACCGGAGAGGATGACTTGAGTGTATAGAGACCATCTTTACTCTGACCGGAAAGAAGAGGAATCTTGGAATCCCGATCCTTGACAAGAAAATAAGAGGGGTGAAATTCAAAGAAAGCATTATTGTCACGAGCAAAGCGTTGAACTGAGAGTAAAGATTTTGTGATAGTTGGAACATGAAGAATATTGTTAAGAGTTAAAGCTCTAGAGGGTGATAGGATTATAGAATTACCAGTGTGGTGGATGGGGAGGTTATGTCCGTTGCCAACGCGAACTTGATCCAATCCCTTGTAATCCTCAACTTGTGTTAGTGAGATCTAGAGTGATGTGATGAGTGGCGCCTGTATGGTACCATTGCGGAGTAACTGGCGGCAGAGATTGGTATGATAGATAAGCTGCAGGGCTCCTATTGGGACTGTAGCGTTGGAAACAAGTCGAGGCAAGGTGGTTACTGCCATTGCAGATTTGACACTTTTGTCGCTGATCATGGGATTGCCAGAATTGTGTGTTGTTTGAATAATTAAGTAAGTAAAAGCGTCCATCTCTTCCACCACATCCTCTATAAGATCTTCCTCGACCCCTGTTGGAATTTGTATTAAAAGGACGGTCAGAAGGTGTATTGCATTGGGCAAGATTGGCAGAAGGTCCTTCTGTGATTGAGGAGTTTTGTAGTGTAGCAGATGAAAGGTACATGTTTGAGATAGATGAACCATTGATAAATTCATGGTATAAGATAAGGCTATGAAGTTCAGAAAAGGTTACTGGCTCAGGTCGTGCAGATAGCGTGGTGACGATGTCCTTAAATTCGTATCGTAACTCTTTGAAGATGTAAATATTTTGATCAGCAAGGCAAAGAGGTCGTCCGGCAGCAGCCAATTCATCTGAGATGAGTTTGGCTTTGTGTAAGTATTGAGTGACGGTAAGATCGTCTTGCTTCAAGTTTTGGAGTTGCATATGAAGATTAAGGATCCTTGTGTTGGACGAAGAAGATAAAGCAGCTTCAAGAGCATCCCATACTGCTTTTGATGTGTTCAGACCTATGGCTATGGGCAATGTTTCTTCAGAAAGGGATGATATGAGAAGGCTCAAGATCATTTGGCCTTGTTGTATCCACTGACTATAGGCTGGGTTTGGTGTGGATACATCAGTACCTTGAGCAGAGATAAGTAATGGTGGACAATGGGTTGCTTCCATCAATATAAGCATGGAAGTTTTGGCCACGAAGGAAAAGTAATAATTGAGTACGCCAAAATAAATAATTTTTAGCCGTTAACTTGATGGAGATGAAGTGGTGAGCATGGTTAAGTGATGGAGAAGAAGACGGATTGACTGGAGATTGAGAAGGAGCGACCGAAGGAGAGGTCGTGTTGGCGTCTGATACCATATTAGAACACAAAGATACACAGAAACGTTTATACGAAGGACCTCACTGAGGTATATTATTTCCTTGACAATCTTGTGTACATAACTCGTGTACATATATACATTGACATCTTGGCTAGATATTGAGATAGAGATTACAGTAGAGTAATTATACAGAATACTAACTGATAGCTATCCTAGCCTAACCATTATCTGTAGAACTCTTGGAAGAGTTCTTGGTTGCGTGGGACTCAACTGGACGTGTCTCAATAACTATTATATAATTTTTATAATAACAACAACCATACGGTATATTTTCACAAGTCGAGTCTGGAAAGGATAGGATGTACGCAGCCTTACCCTACCCTGAAAGGGCAGAGAAACTATTTCCGGAAGACTTTCGGCTAAAGAAAGGATGGAAGAAGCATTGATAGTAAGTAATAACAATACAAGATATTTAGAAAACTAAGTCAAAGATAGAAAAGGAGAAGATGAAAGAAGTACTGATAGCAAGTAATAACAGTACAAGATATGTGGAAATAACACACTAAGGGTAAAAAGGATACCATACTAACACTAATACTATTGAACTAAGGAAGACAAAGGGAAACGCTCAACTACCTACTAACCTTCTACCCTAATTCTCGACTGCCACACCCTCCTATCAAGGGTCATGTCCTCGATTAGCTTAAGTTGTGCCATGTCCCGCCTGATCGCCTCTCCCCAAGACTTCTTTGGCATACATCTACCCTTCCTATTACCCTCCAAGGCCAACCTCTCACACCTCCTGACCGAGGCATATGTGCTTCTCCTCTTAACGTGCCTGAACTATCTTAGCCTCACCTCTCGCATCTTTTCTTCCACAGGGGTCACTCCCACCTTGTCCCGAATAATTTCATTTCTTATTCTATCCAACTTTGTGTGCCCACACATCCATCTCAACATCTTCATTTCAGCTACTTTCATCTACTGGACATGGGAGTTCTTAACTGACCTGCATTATGCTCGATACAACATAATCGGTCTAACCACTACCTTGTAGAACTTACCTTTAAGTCTCAACGACACATTCTTATCTCACAAGACACCCGAAGCGAGCTTCCACTTCATCCACCCAACTTTGATATGATGTGTGATCTCCTCTTCAATCTCCCCATCATACTGAATCACAAACCCAAGGTACTTAAAACTCTCTCTCCTAGGAATGACTTACATCTCTAAGCCTCACATCCCAGTCCACTTACTGGGTAACACCGCTGAATTTGCACTCCAAGTATTTTGTCTTGGTCTTGATGAACTTGAAACTTTTAGACTCAAGGGTATGTCTCCAAATCTCCAGCATCTCGTTAACAACACCGTGTGTCTCATCAATCAGAACTATGTCATGTGCAAATAACATGCACCAAGGCACCTCCTCTTAAATGTGTCGCCTCAATGGTCCATTGCCAAGGAAAACAAAAACGAGCTAAGTGTTGATCCTTAATGCAACCCCATCTCAATCAGAAAGTATTCAGAGTCACCTCATGCTGTCCTTACCTGTGTCTTAGCTCCATCATACATGTCCTGGATCACTCGAATATACGCTACAGTCACTCCCTTAGCCTCCAAACATCTCTATAGAACCTCTCTCGAGACTTTGTCATAAGCTTTCTCTAGGTCAATAAACACCATATGCAAGTCCTTCTTCATCGCCCTATACTGCTCCACTAATCTCGTTACAAGCTGAATGGCTTTAATAGCCGACCGTCCCGGCATGAAACCAAATTAGTTCTTGAAAATGGACACGCTCCTCCTCATCCTCCCTTCTATCACCCTTTCCCAAGCTTTCATCGTATGGCTTAACAACTTGATACCCCTATAATTGTTGCAGTTTTGGATATCCCCTTGTTCTTATACAACGAGACGAACATACTCCACCTTCATTCTTCAGGCATCTTCTTCATCCTAAAATGACGTTAAACGGCCTAGAGAGCCATTCCAAGCCCGCCTTACCCATACTCTTCCAGAATTCCACAGGAATCTCGTCTGGACCGGTCGCTTTACCCCTACTCATCCTACGCATAGCCCCTTCAACCTCCCCCACTCTTATGCATCTACAGTACCCAAAATCTCGATGTCGCTCCGAGTACTCCAACTCACCCAGCACGATGCTCCTATCTCCCTCTTCAATTATATAATTTTTACAACTTTCAAAATTTGAAATCACACGAGAACGTCTTAGTTTTCTCTGTAACTTTACTTCCCATATCTCTGAATGTATAAGGGCATTAGCTAGTGATCTGAGCTCTTTTTCAACGATGAACATCTGTATCATCTCATTAGTCGATCTTACCCATGTTAAGATTTTTAAAAAATGGACTTGGACACAAGCTCAACTGCCGGAGGCTTGGTTTAACTAAGGAATCTCCTTAGTGACATGAGTCAGATTAGCTTTTTCACATTACTTAGATATTTCAAACACTAACTACTGTTTCAAGAACCACTTTGGAATGTAATAGTGATAGCCTAGATACTATAGCATAATTTCCGGATTCTACAGGGAATGCAAATTCCCCCTCTGATGTAACTATTTTATCCGTTTAGTTTGTTAATACATCAACCCCTTTAAATCAAACAAAAAAATCTAATATTTCCATTTCAGGAAGGAAAGGATGAAAAAGAAAAAGGGATATATCAGTTGGGTGGGACTGTGAAATTGAGTGATCCGCCTTGAGCGTGCCAAACAAGCAAAGCATCAATCATAGTCATACCACAATATTGAATTGCAACGAGAGGAAAGTGATGGGATACAGATTCACCACACGCAATGATGCATCGCAAGATTCAAAGCCGTAAACGATTTTCATATATCTTACATTTACAAAGTGAATCCACTCCACTCCACACCTAATTTTTCCCTCTTTACAAAATCTCTTCGATTACGGCCCCATATTGACATTCACGACCCCATCACGTACTTACATCATTACAACAGGGTCAGGACCACCTCACTTAAAAAACTCATTAAATAACTCCTAATTCGCCTCTAATTACTTTGTTAATAACGACTCTCATTTACTTACAGAGACAGACACTATATTACAATTTACTTACATAGACCCTTTGGACATATTTACACTAGCCAAAAGTATCGTTCTTCAGTTTCTCAGTCGACGAAAATCTTCAAACTCTTCTGCTGCCGCTAGTTAAAACAAAAGTTGATGACTCGTTCGTGTAACTTCATGTTTCCTCTATGTACTTTTCTCAGTATTGGACTGGCATTGTGGTTTTTTCTTAAGCCAAAGCAGGGATACTGCAATTACGACGATCCCTGTCAAGGCAATCGAAACCCTCAACTCTCACAGCCGGATTGTGGCCAAAATTCGCCCTGCTCACACATCCGCCTTTCCTGGCGGAAGACGATGGGGACGAAGCCAATCCGGAGGGAATTGGTATTGCCCGTGGTGAAACTGGGGTGACCTTTTCGTCCCCAAATCGTGCGTCTTGAATCAATGGGTTAGATACTCTGCTCGGCGGTGACCCACAAAAAAATGGGGGCGACGAGGCTACTTGTGCGGCTGGTTGATCAACTCCACCACCACCCTGTACAATTTCAAAACCAAAAATCAGCAGATGAATCTAGAGAACTATTGACACAAACTATACACAAACTATGCATATACAAACAATTATGACTCAATCCCAGATAAATGAAGTCGATTTTATCTAATTCGCACTAACCATACAACTCCATTGACGTGGACTATGCATATAAAAGGCAAAACAATTAAAGTACTATAGACATAGTATATGATAATCTAAATTCAATTTGATTTTTACAGATTCTAGAGGGAGGAAGACCAAAAATAGAAAGTGAATCAATCATGACATGTCCATTGCTTCAAAGCCACTCGATAAAAAGCATAACATGAGATTCACATTCGACAACTAGCACCGACAAGAACATGGTGCCCACACACTTGGACTGGGGCATATAACCCTTTTTCATAGGTCCACAAATACGCTCCTTTTATTTTATTTAATATTTAATTTTCGCTTTTCAAATCAATGAATTCCACATACACATACTAGGATTACTATAACCCAAAAAAAAAAAAAAAAAGTGAACAAAGTGATAAACCTACCTTTGTGAGGATGATATCCAATAAATCAGCTCCAGATCTTGAATCACAAAAGTCTTGCTGATGCCATCTGAGAGGTCTCATAGGGCCGCCGCCGAGACGGCGGGGCTTAGGGCAAACAACGGCGTCCTTCTTATCGGAAATTGAGGAGTAGGAGCGCATCATCATCTCTTCACAAGCGGCAAAATTACTTTGTTGAATAGCACAGTGATTCATTTTTTCCAGACAAAATCTACTTAAACAACGCCTGCACCAATTCAAATGAAGATTTTACTTCACAGATCTAAATATAACAGTGACATAAACGAAATAAAACAAGAAAAATTAATTTCCTCAAATTAATAAGTTGAAAATTCTATAGATCTGCTCAAAGCTTAAAAAAAAAAACGTAAGGCGGAGATTTTGACCTTTTCCGTTGAGACAACCAAAGACGGCCGGAAAAATAAAAAAACAGAAATTTAGGGAATCGTGGATCTAAAAATTTAATACGAAAATTAAAGCTATGAATCATGCGACAAAATTATACAACTATGCAAATCAACTACAAAATAGCGTAAATTTCCAGCTTCATATGAATTTTAAATATTTGTCATATATACTACTATACATGTATATTATATTCGAGAAATCAGATTTCAAACAAATCGTATGGCCGATATCAACCGGCGATTTAACTCTGCGTTGAAACAACTGAGAAATCACCGGGGAAAAAAAAAGAACAAAAAATATAGGGAAACGTGGATCTAAAAAATACCTTAAGTCATATCAAAAAATTGTAAAAACTTACGTAGCTAATTTTACAACAAACACGTAGTTTCCAGCTCAATAGGACTTTACTGGAGACAAATTCTTCGCCTATAAATTACTTCTATATATTAAGAGTCATAAAAATCGAATACTTCCTAATTTCTTTCACAGATCTACACATAATAGAACAAAAAAACGAGCTGCCTAATAGTATTTACTGTGCTACAAACTACACGCAAAACAATTTTTCCAAGACAAAAGAAGAGAGAACTCGCAAAATCATTACCAAAACGTAACTAATCTACAGGAAGAAGAGAGATAGAGAGATGTTCACCTGAGGAGCTGTACGAAAGAG